TTGGCTGGTCCAGCTCAGAAAATGGACTCTTGGTGAGGTGTTCTTCAGTCTGGCTGCCTAAGTCATTCCCTGCTCCTCAGAGGGGAACAGGCCCCAAACAACTTTGCTTTCACCCTTTCCACTCAGGATAAAGTGTCATTACTTCTTTTACCTGCCCTCAACTCAGGTAAGAGGGGTGGAAACAAATCTATGTCCTTGGGTGCATAGATTGGGTGCAGGTCTTTGAACTCTTTGATTGGTTTCTTATTACTTCCTGCATTTCCCCTGACATCAGCCGGGTGGCAGGTTTTCGTACAGAAGGGCTGTATCCAAGTAATACAGGGAGAACACATTCCTCATCTCAGAAGAGTAAGCGTATTTTCACAACAGCTTCCCTAGGATAAGCTCTGGATGTGGGATGCTACTCTGCTTTTCATGAGGATAAATTGCTAAGGCTGAGCAGTTCTCCAAGGCTGAATGAAACCTCCTCAACTTCCCAACCCAGCTTGAGCAGTGCCATAGGTGGCCACTGCTTCATGCATGCTCACTAGTTATCTCCCTGGCTTGTAAACGGGGGCTGTGCATCAATAGCTGTGCCTGCTCATTTGCACCTCTTTTTCTATCTTATCCTCCTGCTCACCATCATAACTTCATAACTGGACTGAAATTTGAGATGTTTTCAGGAAAAAAAAAAAATCACACATCAATCACAGGACTGCAATGAATCCCGGCGCTATGTTGGCAAGGTAAATGTAGTTGTAGGATGTGTCAGCCCAGGCTCTTTCAACAGACTTTGGTGCCACCTCATAAAGGCAGTGTGATCCTATGAAGAAGCCTGGAAGATCCTGGAAGTTTACAGGCAACAGTGGGAAGCCCTAGCAAGAGGTGATAGGATATCAATCCCACAGAGCCAAAGCAAGCACAGGGCTGCCGGCCCAGGGACAATCTGAAGCAAGGAAGATGGACTTTCCAGTCCAGACCTAGGGAGCACATCATGCATTTCAGAAGACATCAGAACTTTGTAAGGGAGTGAGAAAGAGAAAACCCTTCAGTGAGGTTTTTCCTGTGGCACATATAAGAAAAAACAAAACAAAAACAAACAGTGCAAACCTTAAGTTTGCAGATGAAAATGGGATAAAATGGAGCAAGGTTTTGCCAATTCAGGATGCTGAGCCACCTGCTGTAGGAGGAAGGAGTTGGGTTGGCCTCCATCCTGCCGGAAGGGGACTCTCAGCTAGGCTGTGTCTTTACTTGGGTGTGTGGCTAAACCAGACTGAATTATTGTGATAGCAATAAGAAGGGAAAAGCATAATAGGTGCACACTAAGTTTATGCTGATCCTCCTTTTAGATGATGCATGGAGAGACCAAGACATAAGGAGAGAGGAAACTCTGAAAATACCTGTGAAATGGCATCTCAGTCAGAAACCAGGGAAAACAGAGAAGAATGAAAAAAAAAAGCTTGCCTGAGTTGCTATGGCTATGAAATGGCTGGATGCTGGATAGGGTCGGTGTTGAAAATTGCTGAATGCAGGCCACTAACATGTTTGAACAGAGAAAATAGGGGTGAAACCAGAGCCTTGCTGAAATCAGGGACAATCTTGCCATTTGACATATTGTGAATCATCAGTTGCCAAGCTTGACTCCAGTTGGATGTCATTACCACAGCTCCAGAGCATTCATCTCAGTTTTGGAATAGTCATCACATTTTGCTGTTTACAGCTTTGTCGATGATACATTAATAACCACTGGGGCTCTGACTGTATCTCACTGGCTCTGAAGCCAAAGTTGAGTCACACATAGGAGGGCTGCCTGCCTGACATAGCACAGCTAACACCCCTAAAAACATTTCTTGGTGTGCAAGACTGCCAGGACCCAATTTCACCCCCCTGCACAGGAGGTAGGATTAGTACGTTCAGTGCTGAAATGAAACGCTTCCCAGTCTACCAACAAAGAGCAGGCTTTGAATTCTCAGCTGAGGAAGCAGAAGGTTTACGTTAGGAGGATCCATTTGATGCAAGTTTATTTTAAACCAGCTTTTTTATTCCAAGTGGTATTTAGTGGTATATTAAAGCTGTCTGTTCCATAGGTCTACCGGAGCCAGCATTCCACATCTCTAGAAATTCACTGCAAACACTCTCTTGGTTTCCTCTATTTTAACATTTTTCAAAGTTTGTGACTGGTGAAAGAGCAGGTTTTTGGTTCCTGCAGAGATCTGAAACATGGACTTTCCTGTCAAATGGCAGAGATGCTATTTGGGCCAGGGCAGTTCCCAAACCATCTGCGAGCTGCTGTCTTGCTAGGGAGACTAGAATCATTTCTGGAATTTCCATCGCAGGAAACAGATACTCTTGGGCTGCAGGCAGGTACCCAGCCATGCCAGGCAAGGGGAGGACGAGGCTTTGCTCTGATGTAGCATCCTGAGATGCAGCAGTTCCATACTAGGGAGGATGAGGACAAGAAGAAGAGGACGAGAACTCTGTAGAGGTCACCAGAAAGCTGACTTCCCCCTTGCAGTTGTGAAATAAAGCATTATAGGGGCAAGTGGAACCTGCAGCTCACTCCCAAAGGCAGGCGGGCACAGCACAGGGATGCAAGGAGACCTATTCAGGAGAACTCAAGAGGTGACAGAAGAGAGGACATGAGGCTTCCAGGATTATGCTTAGATTTCAATGAGGCCCTACAGTGATTTGCATTACAAAGGATTTTATTAATTAGACAACTGATTTAAATGCAAGCAACTAATCCCTCTGCTGTCAGCAAATGATCTTAACGTTCAGCTGTCGATGTGTTTTAGCATTTTTCCTTGCTGGAATATCTCTTTAATGTACATCTCAACACAGCATTTGGATTTCTTATATATCTTCAGAAAAGTACACAATACTGTAATAACCATGTCTTGCAAGGATATGCAGCAGGCTGCATCTTGCATTACATCAGTAACTTCTGTCTTCAGCTTAGTTTGGGCCTATTTTGTCAAAACTTACAAAACAAGAATAAATCCTGGCCCTTGAGACCATTTCCAGAGACTATCAATAAAACAAACCAAAAAGCGTTGAACAACTTGCTTAAGTTCGTCAGTGGATCAGTGACACCATCAAGAGTATAAGAAGACACCTTGAGTCCAAGCCATTAGAACCTCTACCTATGTGTGAGAGTCCCTTGGTGTTTGTGATTCCAGCACACACCGTGGGTTGGTACTTCAGCTGAAACACACAGAGCTCCTGGCCAAGCCTAAAAGGCTTCATGTTCTGAGAGAGTAATGGGAGCAGTACAGCTCCCAGATGAGTACTTTTCCCGAAGACAATTATTAAGGGGCCAAAACTGGGGGGTTTGCCATTTGAGTAAATATATTATGTAAAATAAGCTCTTCAAAACAATAGCAACAAATGCTCTATGTTGCATGGAGCCAGTTTTCTATTGTCTTCTGTGACCTCTCATCTGAAGCATGGACTAAAGCTAGGCAAAGGTTGAAGTGTGTGTGGCACAGAGAGATGGGAATAAGAAATGGCAAGTGCCATTGTTCTTCTCTTTGCCCCCCTGTGAGCAGCATTTCACTCGGTTTTCCACTGTCAGAATAGATTAGATATCTAAATTCTAGTATCAATGAGTGGTCTGGCTAATCACTCGGGTGCAGAAAATGTGTTTCACGGAGGAAAATGCCAGATTTGTGGAAGCCATTTGTGTAGCTTAACACAGTGATATAGTGCATGCTTGCAGAAAGTCAGATTTTGAAGACAGCATTTGAACAATACAAAACTAATTAAATCAACAAGAGGCCTGGGGACAAAGGATTCATTTTCCCATCAGCTGCCAGCACAGATGAAGGCTGGTGATCAGCTCTGCATGTGACACGTCTGCCCTGCCGCACTCAGAGCTGTCCTCAGGAAAGTCCTCTCCAGGGGAACAGCACTGAAACTTAATTGTTCCTCAAAGAGAAATGAAAACTTAAATGTGAATGATGGGAAAAAAAAAAAAAAACAAACAGAAAAAGGTTATTGCAAAAGGAGGAGGAAAGGAATGAGATTCTATTTGAAATGGTTACCGCAGAGGATACTTGTGTTAGCTTTTGGCAGAACAAAAGGGCATTGCAAAGAAATTCAGAAAGGTGTCGGTATTCAAAACATTTTACAGTCAACTCTGAAATCATAATATGTGCACATAACCTTCAGAGGCTTGAGCAGAAGGATAAGAAAATGTCCACTGTGTTTCTCTCCCAGAGACAAGCAGATCCTATCTTTCCTTATATAAGTAGAGAATAGGGAGCATTGTTACCCCACGTGTGCTCCCTGTGGCATTTTATGCACAGCAGGGCAGGCTGGTGTCCCCAGGGCAACAACCAGCCCCACTGAGAAACTCTGTGTGGGGAGAGATGTCTCTCCTCTTCATCATAGTTAACATCATCCATTGCTTGATAGTTTAAAGCACGTGCAACCGCCCTGCTCCCCCAAAACACCAAGGGGTGGCGCAGAAGGATGACACACTCTATTCCTGCCCGCAGCCCTTGGCAGAGGATGGAATTACTCTGGCAAAGTGTTGGGCACCCCAAGATGTGCTGAGTTTGGCTGATGCCAAGGTACTGGACCTGCATGGCCTACACCCCCCTGCCTGCAAATAGTCCCCACTAGAACCTATCACCACTGAATATCTGGACCTGGTCAACCAGCAGTAACAGTCTAACTGATGGGGATATTTAAATCCTATTGACAAAATGGGCCTTCTATCAACTTTCCTTTGATATGGATGGGATAGGTTTGTGCAGTAGGACTTTGCAGTGGGGCAAAGTTAAACCTAGGTCAAATATTGAGCCAAGGGTGACAGGAACTCAATAGAAAGCGGGTGAAAACATTTTAGACCCAGTTTCCTAAGGCCACTCTGCTGCAGGATATGAGGACAATTAGCAACAGCAGCAAAACAGAGAGGGTTTGCCCAGAAGAAGGAAGCCAAGGTGAGCAGGGCTGTGTAAGAAACGTCACAGAGGCTCATTTCTGTAAACAATAAATTACAGACCATCACAACTCTGTGCTTTACATAAATTTTATTGTGTTTCAGAGAAAATTGCATACAGCCCATCAGGTTACTCTAGCAGCATGTAATATGTTTAGTATGTGGTCCAGCCTTTTTTTTTTTTTCCCCAGTCATTCAGCATAATTCTTAGCAGGATTTTGTGCTGCGAATGGTAACTAAAACTATCAGCGTTTTCTGAAACATCTGTTCCTATTAAGGTTGATGACATTTTTTTCTGGAAAATTCCTAACTATATTCTAAAATTATATAAAAAAAAATACTGCGTCCTTGTGGAAATTCAATAATATCTGTGTATCATTTCCTAATACGAGTATCTGAAAATGTTCCTCTTAGACAAAATGTACTGCCAGTGTCTGAGAATGTTTTCTTCAACCCAGAGCTTTTTGTTTTCATTGTTTCTGTTGTTATACATCACCATTTCAAGTTGTTTTGTTTTTTTTTTTTAATGAATAAAAATTGAGTGTGTTTGAGTGAACAAATCATTATTTTGAAAAGACCTCTGAATTTGCCAGAAGGGAAAAACTTCTAATGCTGCTGCAATTATTTTAATGACATACATTTAAAAAAAAAAAGAATTCTGGTGAGTAAATATTAATCATCTAGCAGTGAGAAGGGTATTACTCAAGGAAGCAAAGCAGACATTGTGGCAGCTCAAAATGCTTGCGCATCGACATACTTCATGCTACCTCTGTGCCACAACACACTGCTCCCAGCCTCATGCCCACAAGTGTCCTCTTGTTGCATTGTGGCTCTGGAAGCTAACTTTGCTTCTAGATGAAAAATAAAGGGTAGTTACTTTCTTGACAAAGGAGATTGCCGCGAGGGCATATGAGCTACAGCATGAGGCAGGAAGAAGCAGGGGTGCAGAAGGGCTATAGATTGGAGTGACCCAAGACTTCCTCTTAAGTCATGGGCTTACTTTCTCCTTTTCTGCACTGTATTTTAGCCAGTGTTTTTTTCTACAATGTCAGTGGAGTCATACTAGTCAGACTCATTTTCCACAGGTAGAACTCCACAGACAAGCAAGTATTTGGGAAGTCCCTCTACCCAAAACTGTCTGCAATTTCCCCTGTATTTAAAAACAAGAACTTCAGTTCTGTACGAACTTCTTGCCTGTTACAACCCCAGGTTATCATTTGTACCATTATTTATAGTCAGACCTAACTTTAAAACTAGGAATTGGAAAAAGCCCTATAAAAATAGGATACAGGATCCATATCCAAGTCATTAAAAAACAAAAGGAATCAAAGCTTTCCTTGATTTTGGGTAGTCTGTAAATGTCTTGAGATAGTACCTGAAAGAGAACAAACAAAAGAATGAAAGTGCGTACGAGGAAGAAAACTGCACAGTTTCAATACAGCTCAGCTGAAGTACCTTAAAATGCCTCCAATCTACCTTGCTTTGCAACCTCTCTGTGTTACTCTGCGAAAGAACAATCCCAAGAGATTTACACTACTATTTAATTCGGGAATTCAGCGCACAGGAGCACGTCTATCCCAAAGCACTGCAAGGAACCCTCAGGAGAAGATGTGTTTACCAGGCTCAGTGACAGGATGTCTTAATATGGAAGGAGTAGTGACATAAGCAGAGCTACTTAAATGACCATCAGTCCTATTTAACAATTTTTCCAGCGCACTGCTGTACTTTCATCCAGTTGCAAACAGGTTAGCATGCTTCTTGTACGTAGCATTAAATTTCAGTTTTCTTTTGGATTCCAGCCCTGTCCCTCCCTGGCATTTTGCAAAATGTGTTCCATGAGCAAGAGGCAGGAAACTGTTTGAGTTTTGATACCTGTGATGGTGGTAAGCACGGGGCCCAATGCAGCAAAGAGTGAAAAAGGCAAAGGTGAAGGCTGGTAGAGACCAGGTAGCGATGGCAAAACCAAACCATTCCACAATTTCTCCAAAGTAGTTGGCTCCAGAAACATAAGTGAACAGCCCCCCTGAAATGAAAGGCAAAATATGCAATTTTTATATGTCATCTTATGCACATGGAATTTTTCTTTCCTTAAGCAACTGAATACTCTACCTTTTTATTCAGAAACCATATGAGAAACTTAAAATGACTTCCCCGAAGCCAAGAGAAACTACAAAGAAGGATACTGTACAAGAGTCAGAGGTTATTCTAACCAAGAAGTTATTGGCACCTTCACAATTGTTTATTTCCATTTGGAAATGGAAAGACTTAAGAAAGCCATTATTAGAATGACATGAACCTCATTTATTAACATCTCCGCTGCCTCTAGGGAATACAAAATCTGGATCTCAGTTCTGTATTTTAGCTAATCACAGCAAGAGGAAGGCAGGCGTTGAAAGTGAAAAACGGGGCAGAGGCAGTGATGATTGAGGAGATACAAGCATCCAAAGCAAGCCAGCAGGAGTCAACACCAAAACTGGAGTGTCCTGGATCCCCATCCATGTTTCTCTACAGAAATGGGCATTTCCAGGTTCATAGCACTGACCTACATCCTGTCTTTCTCACTAAGACAAAAACATACCTTGAGGAATCTTGTAAGTTACTTCCCCAGGTTTTCTCAGCTGGCGCAGCAGGAGATCACTGTGAATGTTGATTCCCATTCCCAGAAGAAATAAGAGGAGGCCTTGAAAGAGAAATGGGAAATGGATTAGAAAGATAGCTTCTGGTTTGCCCCATTATCCCTGCACAAGGAATACTACAACGTGCGAGGTTTACCTTTGGAGAAGGCAGATATGAGGCCCAATGTGATGTGGGTGAATGCTTTTTCTCTAGTCAAAAGACGCATAGCTACTGAAAATGTTACAGATCCCCAGAAATATGAGTGAATGATGATAAGGTAAACATGTATCTCTGTGTCAGCTACGAGATCACCTATTCTGGAGAGCTTCAGTGTGAACACCATCTCTGCACATTAAGATGACTCCCCTGAGCAGACTGTTCTGTCAGGCTGAGCAGAACACTTTCAGCTAATGTGAGAAAAAGCCAAATTTTTCACCTGGCCATTGTCATCAAACAGCATAGAATCATAGAACAGCTTGGGTTGGAAGGGACGTTAAAGATCTTTCAGTCACAACTCCCAGGCACGGGCAGGGCTGCCCCTCACCAGCTCATGCTGCCCAGGGCCCCATCTTACCTGGCCTTGAGTGCATCCAAGGATGGGCATCACAGCTTCTCTAGGCAGCAGTGCCAAGGCCTCACTGCCCTCTGAGTAAAAAATGTCTTCCTAACACCTAATATAAACCTCTCCTCTTTAAATTTAAATTAATTAATTTAATTTTAATTTAATTTGATGAAATTTTAAATTTAAAACCCCCCTTGTCCTATCACTGTCAGATCAAGAAAAAAGTCAGCCTCTCTCCTGTTTGTAAGCTGCCTTATTGCACTGGATAGCCATAGTGAGGTGCCCCCAGAGCCTTCTGTTCTCCAGGATGAACAAGCACAGTGTCTTCAGCTTGCTTTTGCGGGAGATATTCTCCAGCCCTCTGACCATCTTTGTGGTAGTCACTGAACATCAAAAGGGAGGGAAAAATAATGTGTGCAGAGATACGTGCATGTTCCAAATCCAAATCAAGATTCTATTTTCATGAAGGATGTGGAGCAGATAGCTTCCAAGAAGCCATCATAAAAAGAAAGACTGAAATGTCAAGAAAAATCTCTGCACACAGGTCTGTAGTTGCTCATCAGGCTTTCTGCCATCATGTTCCAGTATACCTGTATGCCCTATTCTCAGCCAAAGAACAGTGCTTTGTGGTACTGTGTGCTACCAGCTGCAGCAGCAGATGTGAGGATAGTCTGCTGCTCCCAATTCTTTTCTACTGCCTATGGGAAGCCTCTGTGCTCCTTCTTGGGTCCCACAAGTGGGTACATTAATGATCTAGAAAATCAGTCATTCAAGAGAGGCCAGGGGGAGCCTGAGCAGCAGCTACGTATTCACAGTCCCCAGAGATATCAGGTAGCTAAGTATTGGATGGGCCAGGTAGAGCTGGGAGAAGGAGGGGGCCAGGGATGGAAGGGAAAAGCTGTGAAAAGAGAAAATCAAAGAACACAAACTTATCCAGCATATCATCAGTACAAGAAGAGGAACCTTAAACCCAGAGCTGCTCAGTCCACTAAAAGTCAGGCCATTTGGACAGAGCTGTGGGCATGAACATGGAGCAACCACTCACTTGATGGAGGCTGCTGACAGTTTCTGGCCAGAGAGATTCATTGAGCAGATTCTGTTTAGCTGAGAAACTAGATTGAGGAACTCTGCAGGTGACATGCCCTACATTTCATGCCACATTAGACACTGAGAAAACCACATCTGACAGCGATAGGGAAGGCAGGAATCAAGTAGAGGTGGTGTGTGCTAAGTGACAGAGCAAAAAACAAAGGTCTTGTAAAACCTCAGCGCTCCCAGTAGTAACAGAAAGTTGGGAAGAAGTTGTAGAAGATGAATACATTGTTTTAACTTGACGTCTTAAGGACCACCACTACTGTTTTCCCATTAGTTCTTTGTTCTCATCACATGTATATATATATTTACTGTCAAAATTAAATAATGCAGTGTGTTCTTTGATGGCTGTAGAGCTGTTTCTACACAGTGTCCAGGGTTTTTAAGATGGGATGTTGTGAGTTAAGACTGAACTTTTATCCACTGCTTTTAAGAGTATGGAATGTACCTTGGTTATTTTGTACTTGCTGTATGCAAAACATTTCTTCTTACCTCCCTGTTCAATTTTATTTCTGTGTCTGTATTTAAAAACCATCCTCTGCACAGCACCAACTGTGTAATGCACCTAGCTGCCCTTGCTCCGTTATTCTCTTCGGGCTTTTACAGGGTGAAATTCAGCTGGGCTATTAAATTACAGAACATAAGGGAACATTATTAACATACAACCAGACCATGCATGATCTCTAATCTGCCCATGTGCCCTAGAACAAGAAAAAAGAACCCTTTGTCTCTAAAGCCCCATTTATGCTGGGGCTTTGCGCTCTGTCAGTCAGAATGGCTGCATTGAGTGCACACCTCCCTGGTAGACAGAAAAAGCCACAGATTACCCTTGCACAAGGCCACTGTTTGGTGGACATCTGGCTGAGCAATTGCATATTCCTGCTCAAGTGGCACCAGAAAAGCAAGGTTGGTGAGTTGAGACTGTGCTCCAATACCCTACTTCATAATCCTTCAGTGGTGGCTTCCTAGCAAGAATAAATGTCACCACACATTCAGTTGTTTTATCTGGGCCAGCAGGCAGCTTTCATGCCGATTTCCATCACGACTGATCTGACTCACATGTTCAGTGAAGATTAGGATGTAATTCAAAGCGGTGACAAATTGCTTGGAGATTAGATCTCGGGAATCCTGCAGCTGTAATTACCTGATGTAAATCGGATGTCGGTGCACCAATCAGTTGGGTATTCAGCACAGTAGATCAGGTAGTACCCCTGGAGGAAGCCATTATAGATACAGAATAGTGTGCCAAAGAAAAGCAATTGCAGCGGGAAAGGCCTGCCTCTAGTGAAGAAGGGGTAAATAAACGTCCTAAGGTAGATAAGAAAACAAAGTCAGCACATTTCACGATAACAGCGTATTCGTAATTTCTCTGCTGCAGGAAGAAAAACCTTAACAAAACACAAAATATGAAAAACTCAGTAAACATTAAGAAATGGAAAACTGTAAGAAAGCAAGACCAACAACAAATGGGAATCAAGAAAAATACTGCCCATACCACATTTTTCTGGTCCTTTGAGATGGAACACAGGAAGCTGGAAATCTCACCCAGAATTGCTGTGGCTTCAAGAATGTCTCTCTGCCTTCCTCTTCCCTTGCTGGTAGCAGGAGGAACTTGAACCACAAACAGCACATTCATACTAAGATCTTGGCTGCCTTTTGCTACAGAGAGGGGCAGTGCCAACTGCAATACCCATTTCCCAGAAGAGCCACAAACACTGTGGAGGAGCTTCCATATGGAGATGTTCCTGACCCCACCACCAAGACTGCTCTCAGGGCTGGCCATGCCCCTTCACCAATGCTTAATCACGGGTTCAGGCCTGTTGCTCACAAAGGAAGACTTGGAGAAAATAAATTGTACAGAAGAGAGAAAAAAACACCGTGAAAGGAGTTTACACAGTGGATTTGAGCGAGATTCTTCATCAAAAACAGGTATGCATGTGAACCTTTCAATTTCTCTAGCTGAGGTGGTCAGAAGTTCCTGCCTCGGCTTCAACCATTCCTAACATGAGTAGACATTTCTCAGCTTCCAGAATATGCTGTGGCAGTATAAAGGCTACAAGCCCCTTCAAAGATGGCTCACCCAGCAGTGCAAGGAAGGAAAAACCACACGCTCTATCTAACATGAATGCCATGTGTGCAGGACAGAAGAAAGTTGCATGCGCAATCTCAGGGGATGTCAACTATTTATTTAATTAGTAGAGGGAACGAAATCCTGGCGTCAGTGAAATTCTACCTCATAGCACTTCTGAAATTCCATGTCAGAATTTCATTGAAGAATCCACGTTGTGAAGTAATTTTTCCAGGGAAATCTGCTTCAATAAATCTGGAGGTCAGACTCAGCTCTTTGTATCTAAACAGTGCCAGAAGATTCTGTTAATACAACACTTGTCAATTTGAATTACGAGCACACAGACTATTCCTGGTGGGTTTTGATAAAGCAACTGAAATAAAATGAAGGCGTTTGATAGGATTAAATAGTACACGGAAGAGTTTGCATCACTGCAGAGATTATTTTGCAATGTGCAAATCAGAAGAGGATCAGAGGCCACCACTTTAGAGGAGCAGATCAAAAATTGGCCTTTTGGATTTAGACCTATGACAAATTTGACCTTTTTCTTCCTGTGCAATATTGATGATTAATCCTTTTGTCCTTTATCATCTTTACTGGCCAAACGCACTGCATCTGACTAAACCATTGCCAGCAGTTTCCTTTAAAATGGATGAATAATAAATTATTCATCTTTTCTGTCATTTCTTATCCAGACTAGCACGTTTCAAAGAGAAAATGATATGTAATTGCATCAAATTTCTGCTTACATGGAGTATACCAGCTCCCTTGAAAACTGCAGAGTCTCTCACCCCAACTGAGAGAAAAACCACATGCAGTACATCCTACTTCCACGTTCCTCCAAAGATCTCTGGAGGAATTTTTAGTCACTACAGTTTAAGGAATAAGAAGGATATACACTGACAAGCTCATAGCCTAGCTATATAAGACAATCATAAGCCTTTTGTGTCAGGTTCATTTCTGAGTATTCTATCTAAAGCACAGTTCTCAATTTATAATCACTGAGCTACTTGTGGCCCACTTAGAAAATTCATCCAACTTGAAGCCTGTTCACAAGAACACCCTATTTTTGCAGTCTCTTAGGAGCAGGTTCAGGACTGAATGAAGGCTTCTTGTAGGAGCACTCATCTTTCCTGAGGAAGGGATGCAGGCACAAATCTGATCAAGGGATGGGAGGAGGAATGAGGAAACTCTGAGACAGACAGCACCATGTCTGAGTTTCAGGAGTCCTTGAGTAAAAGAGTGATGGAGAAAGGGATGCCTGGGCAGCACTGACTGAGTGAAAGATAGCAGAAATGGGAAAGGATTCAGAGTGGTAAAATAATAAGAGACCTGGAAGAGATTTCCATTCTGCATCACTGGAGCTGCTGAATTAAGAGCAGAGATTAAAGTATAACACTGAATATGAGAAAATAATCTGTTTGGGGGGGCTGAATAACTGTGTGCAAGTGTTCTCATGATACTGAAAGGAAGCAAGTTCAAATGTAATTAATAAACATACTTAATACAATACACAAACAACACTGGAAGAAGGGAGATAGCCACAGATTACAAATAAAGGCAAGTCCTTTAATAAAGAGGAGAAAAAGTCTAAGGCTTTGGAATACATATTCATTCTCATAATTCAGGGGATAAATCACATTCCAATTCAAAGAGGCAGAAGGCAGCATCTCCCTTGGATGGCTGACCACCATTTACTGCACTTTCTTTTGAAAGACTTTTGCCAAGGCAGGCACTGTGACAGACCTCTACTCCAACCCAGCAAGGTAACTTCAGGGCTTCATTGTGGCTCACACCTCATCTAAGAGAAATAGACAAAGAGAACAAGTTCAAAAGGATGGAGTTAACTCCCCAGAATACAAAAGTATTGAACACCAGCAAAGCTACGAGCAAAGCTCCAGAGTGAAAATATCCCAGGAAGGCTGACACCATGGATTGCAGTTAAAGAGGTTAAGCAACAGCACTCAATTTCCCAGCCACACAGCCTAATGCAGAGTTCAGGTTGAATTCTCGGTGCTGGATCAGAAAAGCTCAGCTGCTTACAACTACATGTGAATGAAGTGAGATTATAGCAAGAAATCTACAATAATTTGCAAAACCACATGTGTCTGATGTGAGTGCCTAAAAACAAAATGCTGCTACTACATTGCTATCAATTACTGATGGAAAAGAAAAAAGAAAAAAAGATCCATTTAGCTGCAGAAAGATCTAAGGAATCTGGGCAACATAATGCCAAATTCCAGCACTACAAAAGCCTGAAGTCAGTCATTCTGGCAATCCATTACTAGCCAGATGCCCACAATTGTTACAAATTTTAGGTATGCTGTATGGTTAGCATAGTGAGAAGGCTATATACAGCATAGGAATGAAAGCAAGTTCTTTTTGCGTAGTTACATGCAGGAACTATTAGATGTGCTATACTTAATAAAATACATGCTATACTTAATAAAATACATATCATTGAAAAAAAAAGAAAGCAAAAGAACAGGACCTGATAATGGGGATTTGTTTTTAATTGGTGAGGAAGGACTGGGTCGTCTTGACTCCAACGAACAAATCTTTGCTGTTGTAAATCCATTACAACAGCAACCAGGTTTCAAAAGCATTTTGAAAGCTGATATACAAATTATTTCCTTGCTTCTCTTGTCTTCCAGTATTTCTGAAGCCATCACTGGAAAAATCTGGTATCTTCCAGTGATTAACAGCATCTTAGAACCAACAAAGGATATTTCTTCCTTTTCACAGTTCAAAAAAGGCACTGAATTGTGAAAAATGCTGAACCATTGTGGTCTTTCCTACGGGCTTTAGCAGCAAGTCCCACATTTCAATTACTACACATTTTCTAAAAGGAAGCCAAGAACAAAGTTCTTGGGCTTGGTGCACTAGCAGGCTGCACCAGCAAGTCACAGTCAGTCAGCAAGCCACAGCTAGTGTACAGTTAAGGTAACATATTTGTTTCTCAAAGATTTCCATTTTGAAGCACAAAATACTGTTTTCAAAATATTCTGCCCTTTAATAACTTACAATCAATGAATATATAGATGATATAGCATATCCAGGAGTTTGGCTGATGTAATTATTATACCAGAGTAGGAAAAAAGGGCACTCACCCTATCCTGGGCTCACGTGATAAACTCCAGCGGAACAAATCTGCAGAAGAGATCCTTCCTCACTAGCAGTCAACTCTTCAATGGGTCTAGGAGAGGTGCAGCCAGGCTCCACCCCTTCCAGCAGCACAGGTGAATTGCCTTCACCTGTGCTCCCGTGGCTGACTCGTGGCTCGCCTCAGGTGATCCATCAGAGGTTCAGGCCATGATTCAGCAGCCCCATACAATAACCAAAGGATACCACCAAAGGTGGAGCTAATAAAGCAAAGGAACTATTGCTTGAGTACAGATGACTCCTGGAATCAAGACTGGCCCAAATGGACATGTGGTTTGATCACAGAGACTACACAGCGAAGTACCAGAGTCTACAACCTATGACAAGATGAATATTTGTTTAAAAAGTCTAATGCTTTTGTTTGTAATAGCCTCCTTGCCTGGGAAAAATAAAGTAATAATAAAAAATAGTCTTTTTTTAATATGTTTGTGGCTGGCACGCTTCTGGGTGATACTGAGCGCACCAAGAGTGAGAAATAGATTTAACAACAATCCTGAAATACTGGTTTTGTGTTTTTAGGAATCAGTTTAGTTAAGTGAAGACAATGGCAAAGAACAACTCTTGGGCACATCTAACAAAACATAAAAGATTAGCTGGAGAACTGGCTGGATGGAGGAAGGAGCGCTGGTAGCAAGCTTAGCATGACCTGGGATTGTCAGGGCATGTTAAAAAAGCAAATGTTAAAATGTGATGTGAAAACTGAAGTGCTAATGGAGGCACCCAAATTAGTTCCTCTTTGCATGGAGCTAGTAGGAACTTACATTGTATGCAGCTGAACCCTGCACTTCATAAGAGACACAGGCAAAGCCCAGAGAAAACAGCTGTGATCTGGGAAGTGTGACCCTTGTAGAAAGACTGGAGGCCTCAAGGTTGTTTAACGCGGCTAATAAAAAACCTGTGGAAAACATTATAGCAAAGTACAATTGTATAAAACTTTACTGCAAAGAAGGAAATACGAGCTGGAGGGTTTGAGGAACATCCATCACTGTTTTTAAGGATGGGCTACACAAGCAGCCATCAGGAACAATCCTTAGATTGATTGTCTTTCTTAATTCTCCGTAATTTGTTCTGCGATTGCAATTCCGGATTGTCACAGTCTTGATCATTATGGGGCACTGGAGCTCATGCAGGCCTTTCCTGTCCTAATGTCATCTGTACAGGCCAAAGCACTGAGAATAAAATTCAAGGAACTGAGAATGGGAACTTGGAGCTGTCTTGGTGAGAGGGGGAGACACTGACAGAGAGCTGGGGAGCAGCGATGAGATCTGGAATTAGCTGAGCAAAAGAAACCACAGCACAAACAAAACCTTTTGCCCAGGCTGCAGCCTGAACTCAATGCCCGGCCAGTTACCTCAGCTGAAACTCTAACTAATCTTGGTCCAGATTTAAAATTGTGTGAGTGGTGGAGGACAGGACTAGGGTCAGCGTGACAAGATGTGGTTGTACCCAACCACAATATTTCATGCTTTTCTCTACTAATTGGTGGCATCTAAAGGACAGCAGTACTTAAAGATTACGAGAATGTCTGTTATTTTATCTAAGCGATGGCGTGTCAAAGGCTTAGCCAGCCAAACCATATATTTCAGCAAGGTATCTCCCTCTTTTCTTCTCCAAAAATAACCACTTGATATTTATGAAGATAAATCACTTTGTTCCTATTGCTAAACTATGGTTGTCTGCCAAAAGAATGAAACATGTGCCAGAGTAACTTGACCAGACACTATTCTGTGCGCTTCAAAAAGCTCAGTGCTCCTCTGGAGCAGAGTTCAGTGTTCACAGAAGCTCAGAGTATGAGCAGAACAAAAGGACACATCTGTATAAAAAAAATGGTACAAAATCGAAGGATGCACAAAACTGTGCTCTTACAACTGCACTTATGAGAGAAAACTTAATTATTTTCTACAAGCAGTCCACCTGGCGCTGAGAAACAGCCAAAGAAAGTTAGACATTTAGTCAGCTAACCATCTCCAAAGCTACACGCTGGTCAGGCTGTCTCCTACCAACATGCACTAGGCTTCATACCTGTTCAGAAAACAGAAATGCAAGATACACTGAAAGCAGTCTTCAAGATACCCATAATGATTTTTTTCCACTCCAGTAATTCTCTCTTTGTTCTCTTTTATGCCTAAATTCTTGATCTTTCTCCATTTTGCTCTCCTAGCCTTCCTGAATTTGTCCTTTCTTTGTCCTTCTTTAGATTCTTTGCTTCCTTTATGGTTCCTCAGGTTTTCTTGTTCACCTAGTCAATGTTTTTATCTCTTGCTACCCAACAACTTCACTGTCTCTCTTTCATTGTAGTTCTTTCATGTTTGCCCCTCTCCCTTTGCAGTTATGGCTGAGTATCTTTATCAACAAAAAGTTTTTTCCTGAGTATCCAAACAGGTCTTTGTCTCCTCTACAATGGATTTTCCAGATCCTATGGTAGGAAGTGACTCCACAGTGACACAGAGTTCACGTAGTTTATATTGACTTGTACATGAAAATGCATTGTGCTGTATTAGAGGGCTGCTCTGAAAGTAATGCCACATATTTTACTATTTTGGCCTACAATTTCAGAGGTGGGATGTTGGTGGTATGACAGCAGAGCTCTAACTTTCCCCCCAGTATTCCACTACATGTTGTTGCTGTGTGACAGATGGCAGCAGGGGGCAGTCTAACAGAATGGCATCTGACATGGAAGTCTGTATGAAGCAGAGGTATGTTATTGAATTTCCCCATGCAGAAAAAATTGCACTCACTGACATTCACTGGCACTTACTGAATGTTTCTGGAGACCAAACAGTGGATGGTGCATTTCAACTGTGGTGGCAATGACGTGAAAGATAAGCCACATTCCAGACAGTCATGCAGATCTTTACAAGGGCAGCATGCAGGCTCTCGTTCATTGCTGGTAGCTACTGATAGTGACTATGCTGAAAAACAGCATTTTGTAGCTGAGGATTTACTCTATCAAATAGTTTAATTATGCTCTTTGTATCTGTTGTAGTTTCCATGGAAATAAATTGGAGGCATTGCTACATATTTAACTCTGAATTTTGTTGGCTTTGCACAGCCTCTGTAGGTCACTATAAACTACAAAACCCTTTCATAACCAGGACATATAACAGCAATGATCTATGCAGCTGCTGCAGTAGGGACTGTCCAGTATTTTCAGTAGCAGCACCAGGCACCTGTGGGTATCAGGGGAGGTGAGGGCCTCCTGGTTTCCTCTCTGCCTGTCCTAAATGCCCATGTGATTGGTTTGTGTGGTATCTGGTGGAGAAGGTTTTCTAGTTTCCATCTTTAGCTGGGGAGACTGTCCACTCTGGGGGAGCTACGAGCACGTGCTCAGGGGTAGCAGGCTTACTGCTCCCATCTGTGGAGAGCAGGCCCCAGCAGCTGTGTCTGGCACAGGAGATCACAGAGCAGGACAGATTTTTGGGGACTACGAGAGATGAGATACAGACCTAAGGATATGAGTGCACAGGATGACAGAGCTTCTACCTGGGAGTCTCAATCCCGAGTGAGGAGACTTGGTACATTTGGGTTGTTTATTCAGCTACATTAAGCAGTTTGAGACTGTGAGCTATGTGTTGCTG